CGAACTAACTGAGGACCATCCTTCCCGGGTTAGCCTTCTGCGACATCAGATGTTGAAAGCTGAAGCAACTGTTGGGGAGAACCAATCGAACGGATGACAGTTAATTCCCGCTCGTGTCTTCCCTTAGGGTGCCAAAACTGTTAAGACCGAAGATCCCATTTAAACACTTAGTCATCCAAACTGACTGACTCCTCACCGGTTGGTAGCATGAAAAGACGAATTTAAAATGTGGCCGTTATCTGCACTTACGGAAGGTGATAGAGAACAACACAAACTTCTTGCTCGTAAAGCATGATCAGCATATAGATATACGGAGAGTTATAACCATTATTTAGTTTGCTAAACTTTTGGAATTTGTTTGGTATTTTAAAACGTATTGAGTCTTTTGGTTTTTTGCAACATTTGACCTAAGCAGACGTCCGTTTTGACTCGTTAGTAGTCAACACACTGACACGACTCTTTTAGATACCGGAAGTCCGCACTTGTTTAATTGCACCACTGTTTGCGTTTGCAGCATTGAACCGACATTACGTCACCGTCCTGGTCCATGATTCCATGTTCCGCTTCACGGCAAATGCGACAAAGGCTCTCATCCTGTGTTAACTGCACAGACATTCGCCGATTGTCAGCATGCAGTATGCTGTTGCAGTCTTAGGCCGCATTCGTCGGAAATGCGTATGCACTAACGGTTCAGCCACGGTTATTTTGTCCGCATCAATTACATCTCTACTAACAAGGCTCCACCTTTGTTAGAAGGGCGCATCTGGCGGTTTTTCCCTCGCGCTTGCCCGTTTACAACGCGCTTAATTACCTTCTGCTGCTGCCTGTGTATCAACAGGTACAATCCCACTTTGCCGCTTTTCTGCGACGGTAAACAGTGGCACGGATCCCGTTGTTCAACATGCAAATTCCAGTGTTAGGATACTTAGCCATCAGTTTTAACTTACGCGGCAATGAGGGTGGACCTTACCGTGGTGCGATGGTTTCGGTGCCTCATCGATCCATTGAGCTATGCTGGGTGGTGCTTTTGCACCCTCAGAATCACTCATACCGGATTGGTCAATAGTTAGAGGCCAGACAAACAGCCTGCTGGTCCTCCAGGTTGGGGGTTGGAATGAGGGTAGCACCTAATTCCTTAAAACGGACTCCTTGTAGCCCAACGCCAAACCCGCTGCCTTGTGGTCAGGTTTTTGAACCAAAGGCTTTGGTTGAGAACCCTAATCGTTCTCCTGTCTAGGGCTGGGCAATCTGACAGTATCCTGCCCATGCAATACCATGAATCTTACCTCAAAGAAATTGCTGATGCTCTGGCCAACGCAGAGGATAATCAATGGTGCCCTATCTGCTGCATCGAGCAGGATGGATAGGCGTTCGGATGCTACCGCTCAAGCCTTCCCGTCTTCTTATTCCCCAACTTAGCATTTTCACTCTTACCGTCCCGTTCCAACTTCACTTATATCCCCCAGTTTTCAATCCCCCGATTTTTGGTCCTCCCCCAACATGCTTTGCTAGGCATTTATCTTCTAAGTTCAACTCATATGTGAACGCGGAGCGTCACTCCTCTCCTGTCGACAAGCCCATGTCCAACCAAGCGGTCCATTCCAGTTCATCGGCTTCCATTTGGAGCCCTCGAGCCTCCTTCGGATTGGCATGCCTCAATGTAAGCACACTACTACAAATCGGTCAACAGGCAGCACTTGCCCGAACATTGGAGACTCTCTCGATCGACATCTGCTGCTTATCGGAGACCGGCCTGCAAGACTCGAGCTCTGTGCTCACTCTGCGATCCCTTCAAGTGGCGCAAGCAGTGCCTTCTCATTGCGCTTATCCGGTGACGATGCAGCTTCGAGCACCGGCCAAGCTGGTGTTGGCATTGACCTGAGTCCCCGGACTGAAGCTGCTCTGGTTGATTGGATTCAAACCAGTAGCCGGATGTGTGCGGTCCGATTGGCTGGCTCGTTTAAAGCTTCGAAGTCGCGCGGGACTAGGTGTCTATTCATCATCGCTGCCTACGCGCCCACAAACTGTAGCGATGATTCGGTAAAGAACGACTTCTACCGCCAACTGACTCAGCTCCCTCGCCACAGAAGAAGCACGGACACTGTTGTGCCGGCGGGGATATGAACGCACAAGTTGGAAAGTTGTCCACTGATGAAATGCATCTGGGCGGTCAGCACGGTGTAGGCTCCCGTAATGATAACGGTGAGCGGTTACTACATTTGTGTGAAGCTGCTCGCTTATTTCTTGCCAGCACTAATTTCCGAAACAGCACCCGCCGGAGGGTGACTTGGCACCCACCAGCCTCGAACCAGACTTGGACGCATATCGATCACATTGCTATTAGTTACTGCTGGAGAGGCTGCATCCAGAATTGTTGCTCGATTTGGAGCAAATATGTAGACACCGATCATGCACTTGTATGTGCTGACCTGCGGATACACTTTGGCGGACGCCCACGACGACGCTGTGAGCGCATTGACACCAGCCAACTGACAAAGCCAGCTGTTCTGAATGCGTATCGAAGTATGCTGACCTGCGAGTTGAGTACTCGCTCACTGGAGACAATTGATGGTCACTGGTCACATGTTCGCCAGACCTTACTAGCGGCGGGCAAATCCTCATGTGGTATGTCTAATAGCCAACATGGACATTGGGTCTCTTCACATTCTCTGGAACTTATCAAAGCTTGCCGGCATATTCCGGCTGGAAGCGAGCACAAGGAAACTCGCAAAGAGCTCCGAGCAAAACTCCGCGCCAGCCTGAAGAGAGACCGCGAATCTCAGTGGTCTCCTCGTGCGTCAGAGATGAAAGTGACCACTGCCCTTGGCAACCATCGTAAGTTATTCCGTCTGATACGGGAAACGGGCAGCAGAAGATCTGGTGTTAGTGAAACAATTTGTGATGAGAGTGGACAGCATATCCACAACTTGTCAAAACTTTTGAAACGTTGGGCTGAGCATTTTGAAAAACAATTTAATCGGTTAGAATTGTTCGATTAGCCGGTCACTGATCGCCCTGCCCCGTGGGCTGTCCCTTTGGATCCACCCTCTTGCTCAGAAGTCTAAAGTGAGATCGGATTGTTGAAGTTGAACAAAGCCGCGGGACCAGATGATCTTCCTCCAGCCCCCTTCAAATTCAAAGGCTCTGCTCTTGTTGATGCTTTACATGAATTACTTGTGAAACTGTGGGAGCCGGAGACTGTCCCAGCCGACTGGAGCCGCTCCGTTATTGCTCCCATCTTCAAAGGCGGCTCGCGCTCGGAAGGCGACAACCATAGAGGACTCAGTCTGCTCTCCATGGCCTCCAAATTACTCCCCTCCATAATTCTTCACGGACTGACTGGCGCTCGTGAAAGCCAGATTCGTGAGGAGCAAGCCGGGTTTCGTCGAGGTCGTGGCTGCATCGACCACATCTTCACCTTGCGTCAGTTGTTGGAGCACCGTCACACATATTGACGGCCCACCCTAGTCGTGTTCCTCGACATCAAAGGTGCCTTCGATTCGGTTGATCGATGTGCCCTTTGGAATTGTCTACTCAGGAAAGGTGTGCCCGAGAAATATGTAAATATTATCCAAGTATTATATGCGCGTAACACGGGCAGAGTGAGGGCTTACGGCAAGCTGTCGCCACCCTTCAATATCTCCAGCGGTGTGAGACAAGGATGCCCGCTGTCACCTTTCCTCTTCAACTTCGCTAATGACAGAGCCATGGAGTTTGCATTTACAGGACATGACTTGGAAGGTGTGGAGCTACTCCCGGGAGACCGACTTCTTGAGTTGGAGTATGCAGACGACATTGCCCTCATCTGTGACAGCACTCAGACGTGCCAAGCCGCGCTGGACAGATTAACACTGGCTGTCAGTCGCTTCGGGCTTTGCTTTGCACCATTGAAATTCAAAGTGTTCCTCCAAGATTTTCAGGGATTGCCTCCTGCGCTGACCCTTGGTGGGGATCATCTAGAAGCCGTTCCAAAATTCAATTACCTGGGAAGTTGTATCAGCGCCCTCGGGATCGAAGACGAGATCACGAACCGTTTAGCGAAAGCTCGAAGTGCTTTTGATAACCTTCGCCACCTTTGGCGGCGGCGCGACATCACTCTCGCCCTGAAGGGTAGAGTGTACAATGCAGCGGTACGTTCGACCCTACTGTACGGTTGTGAAACCTGGCCCCTAAGATCGGCGGACATGAAGAGGCTAGTTACGTTCGACCATTGATGCCTTCGCAGTTTGGCTCACATCTGATGGGATCACTGCGTGAGTAACGAGCGTGTTCGACGCATTGTTTACGGCCCAGGAAAAGGGTCTGAACCGCTCAGCACCGTTATTTCCCGCACCAGGCTCCGATGGCTCGGCCACGTGTTACGCATGCCAGCCCACCGACTCCCTCGACGTGCGTTGTTTGCTCACCGGGGATGTGGGTGGAAGAAGAGGAGAGGTGGCCAAGCGATGACTTGGTCCAGGGGAATGAAGTCCCTCACTTCGGAGCTAGCCTCGGTTGGAGCTTCACGGCTCCCTGGTTGGGGTTCAAAAGACCTTGAACACGTTTGGCTGGATACACTTGCTGACATGGCAAGGAGCCGACCTCAGGGGCGTTTGTGCTGTGAGTTTCTTTGTCCCTCCCCATCCCTTTTAGCCTCCCCTCCATCTACGATCTTCTTTCGTAGGGTAAAACATAACAAACCTTTTCTTTTTGCCTAGTAGCTGGCTGGTAGCTTACCGGAACGATACCTATCCGTTGCTGGTAGCCCAGCTAGCATGAAACTGTGGTATCTATTTTTCCTTTGTATATTGTAGTATATGTATGTATGTATGTATGTATGTATGTATGTAATCGGCGGGAGAGCCTATGGTGCGCTGAGGCTGGTGGTGGCTAGATCCTGACAGATGGTCTACCCACTGCTGCTACTGTTGCGCCATAGTCTCATGTCCTGGGCGCCTCCACGTGGCGACCGCTGGGTGGGAGTTAGGTTTCGCCCTTCTCCCTGCTAAGATCCAGGACAACAATCCGCATGAGTCAGTGAACTGACCATGTGCTAGACCCGCTGCCTTTCGGGTGTTCATTTAATCGAAGGCTTTGGCTGAGGACCCGAGTCGTTCTCCTGTCAGGTGTGGGCGCCCTGGCAGTATCCTAGTCCATCCTCTCCGGAGGTTAGGAAGTGGTCGATGGCCCACTTCCCGTAAAACCTAGCCATGGGAGACAACAGGTTACGGGTTATATTCTCAATGCTCGATTGGCGTAGAGCACGAGTACCACGCATTGTCTCTGACGGTGGGAGGACACCTCCGGGTGTTCAATGGTTTGCTACTGCCCGCCTCAAGCCAGGCAGCCCCTGGTCAAATTGGTGCAAACCCGCCAAAAACCCACCTGCGTCTGGCCGTGGTCGCAGGTGCGTATCCAATTACGGTCGCAAAACATATGATAACTGTTCCAGAACCTCAAAGGCTGCGTGTGACGGCCGTCAAGCAGATCCCCATCTGTCTCTGCAATCACATTCCCGAGCTGGATCTGCTCTCCACTGCCTTGTGGGTCAGGCTATTGAGCCAAAGGCTCCGGGTGGAGTCCCTCAAGCAAACCTCCAAACCACCCACTGCCTTGTGGGTCAGGCTATTGAGCCAAAGGCTCCGGGTGGAGTCCCTCAAGCAAACCTCCAAACCACCCACTGCCTTGTGGGTCAGGCTATTGAGCCAAAGGCTCCGGGTGGAGTCCCTCAAGCAAACCTCCGAAGGACAACGACCACCTCGCGTGCGATTGCCCACCAATGCAATCGTATGCCTGCGCGCAAAGCACTCAACATCGGGTGCTGGAACGTGCGCACACTACTGGACCGGAACTCGAGCGAGCGCCCGGAGCGACGCACTGCACTGGTCGCAATGGAGCTGGCGCGCTACCACATCGATATTGCGGCGCTCAGTGAAACTCGGCTCGCTGAGCAAGGTAAGTTACATGAAGCAGGTGCTGGCTATACATTCTACTGGGTGGGGAACGCCGCCTCAGCACCACGTGAACATGGGGTCGGATTTGCAATATCCGATCGCCTGAATGGCCAGCTGGTGGGTGAACCAACGGGCATCAGCGCGCGACTGATGACTGTTCGCCTGCGACTCGGAAGAGGTAAGTTTGCTACTTTTATAAGCACGTACGGTCCGACCATGTGTTATCCTGATGACACGCGTGATCAGTTCTACACTGAGCTATCCTCCGTGATACGGTCTGTGCCGAGGAGCGACCGACTATTTCTGCTGGGTGATTTCAACGCGCGCGTTGGGCGTGATGCATCAGCGTGGACAGATGTTATCGGTGCGCATGGCATTGGTTCAGCGAATGCGAACGGTGACAGGCTGCTCTCACTGTGTGCCACTCACGGCCTGACGATCACGAACACTCGGTTTGCACTGAGTGCGAGTGATATAGCAACTTGGACGCACCCACGGAGTGGTCACGCTCACCTGCTCGACTATGTCATCGTACGTCAGCGTGATATGCGTGAAGTGCGCATGACACGTGTACTGCGTGGAGCTGAGTGTGGCACTGATCACAAATTGGTTCGGACCAAACTGTACATATATTTTCGTAAATCGATGTATTGCACTCCCGCCGTGAATCGGCGTAAATTTAACATTCTCTCCCTCGGCACTGTGGCGAAACGTGCTGAGCTGGAGAAGGCGATGGCTGCACGCCTGTGTGGTGATGTGGACTGTATAGCCACAGTGGGCGACCTGTGGCACCACATTCGCGACCAGGTGACAGCTGCTGCGGAGGAGACCATCGGGCGCGCAAACTGTAAGCGGCCTGATTGGTTTGATGACAACAATGTGACGATTGACGCATTGGTGTCAGAGAAGAATGCAGCATTTGCTGCACATGTTGCAGACCCCAGTGACTTGGGGAAGAGTAGTCAGTTTCGCAAACTTCGACGGCGACTGACCCGAGAGCTCCGTCGCATTAAAAATGCATGGTGGACGGAGAAGGCGAAGCAGATGGAATGCTACGCCGAACGCCGTCAACACAAGGAATTCTTTGACTCCTTGAAGGCGGTGTATGGACCGAGATTGGAGCCGCTGAGGACACTGATCGATGGTAGTTCAGGCGCTACCTGCACCCAGACTGCAGACATAATGCAGGTCTGGCGGAAACACTTTGACTGTCTCTTGAACAACCGTTCAGAGATCGACTGGCCTACATTGAATGGCCTGAAGCAGCACGATGTGAAGGCGGATCTGGCAGATACGCCGAGACTGGATGAGACGCAGAGAGCACTTGCTCAGCTGCGAAACGGCAAATGTGCCGGAGGTGACGGGATCCCACCTGAAGTATTGAAACACGGTGGACCCGCGTTGTTGACTGCGCTGCACCACTTGGTGCAACGCGTGTGGATTGAGGAGGAAGTGCCTTCTGAGCTGAAGGATGCCCTTGTGCTACCACTGTACAAGGGCAAAGGTAGCAAGCAATGTTGCACGAATTATCGTGGCATCAACTTGCTGAGTTGTGTGGGCAAGGTGATTGCCCGAATCCTGCTCAATCGCCTCGTGAGTCAGATTGTGGAACCTCACGTGGCGGAAGAGCAATGTGGATTCCGTTCGGGTCGCAGCACTATAGATATGGTGTTTGCGGCTCGTCAGTTGCAAGAGAAGTGCAGAGAACGACACCAGCCTTTGTACTCGCTTTTTGTTGATTTCACCAAGGCATTTGATACGGTGAACCGCGAGGCACTGTGGCTGGTGTTGGGTAAGTTTGGTTGCCCGCGTAAGTTTGTAAGTTTAATTGAATGTCTGCACAGTGGTATGCGAGCGAGGGTGCAGCTGAGTGGAGAGACCTCTGATGACTTTACAGTTGTCTCTGGTGTGAAGCAAGGCTGTGTGTTAGCTCCTGCCCTGTTTAATATCTATCTTCATGCAATGTTGTCTTGTGCTTTTGATGCGGCTTGTGTTTACGGTGTTCGTGTGGAGCACCGTATTGATGGTGGGTTGCTGAACATCCGTCGTTTCGGTGCGAGAACTCTAGTCTGTGAGACAACTATCCGTATGTTGCTGTTTGCTGACGACTGTGCGTTGTTTTCACACAACGCGGATGAGTTGCAGCACATGACTAGTGCTCTGGCTTCGACAGCGGCCAAATTCGGGCTCACCATCAACACAAGCAAAACTGTCTGTCTGTTTCAGCCTTCACCGGAGGTGCAATCTTCAATATTGCCGCAAATCAGCATTGGTGCTGAAGTATTGGAAACCACCTCCCGCTTCTGCTACCTTGGGAGTGTGATGTCGACTGATCAGCAGCTACACATTGAGTTGCGTAATCGCGTGTCGAAGGCGGCAGCGGCATTCGGGAAGCTAGAGTACCGAGTGTGGAACAACCATCAGCTTAGCATTGGCACGAAGCTGATGGTGTACAAATCCATGGTACTGTCCGTTCTTCTATACGGCAGTGAAACGTGGACGATGTACCGTCGGGATGTGCGATATCTCGAGCGGTTCCATCAGCAGTGTCTGCGACGAATTCTGCGAATCGGCTGGGGCGCCAGAGTCGCAGACACGGAAGTGTTGCGCCGAAGTGGGATGTATGCAGTGGACTGCATACTTTTACTGCGACACCTGAGATGGCTCGGTCATGTGAGCCGTATGGATTCGACGCGAATACCGAAACAACTTTTATACGGTCAGCTGAGTATAGGGAAGCGGCATGCTGGGAAACCAAAGTTACGTTACCAGGACATGATTAAAGTGAGCCTCACACGTTCTAATCTTGATTGCAGATCATGGGAATCGAAGGCGGTTGATCGGCGTGCATGGCGCGATCTAATCACGAAGGCAGTTGCTGAGGTGCGGGAGAAAGCCCTCATGCATGCAGAGAAGAAGCGGCAAGTGCGGAAGCGGCAAGCACCGATGAATTGTACTCCATCGACATCGAGCGCATTGTGTTGTAGAACATGCGGTCGCGAGTGCCTTAGTCAGGCAGGCCTAGTGAGCCATGAGAGAGGTCACTCGGGACCACTGCCGAAGCGACGACGGGTCCCGCAGTGAACGTAGGCAGCACCGGCGCAGCGTTTGTAGGCACGCTGAATTCGATTTACTAACCGCATGCTTGCATGCTAAGTCTCTTTATTTCAGGTGGTGGGTTTTCGGTTCTCTCCTAATGCCTTTCTTTCTCATATAAATGTCTAGTGGGCCATGAGCTAGGTCCTTTGGGGCCACTACAGAAGCGACGATGGGTCCTGCAGAGAATTACGACGAGCCGGCGCAGCGTTTGTAGGCACGCTGATTTCGATTTACTAACCGCGTGCTTGCATGCTAAGTCTCTTTATTTCAGGTGGTGGGTTTACAGTTTTTACCTTAATGCTTTTCTTTCTTATATAAATATCTCCATGTACTCTATTCCATTAACTTGCACATATCGCTTTAGCCAGTTGTATTCGATTTCCATAAGATTTTTGTGTTCGTGGCATACCGTGAACTATACTTCCTGACTTCGTGCACTTAGCTGGGATGTGTTTGTAAACAACTTATTACGTATGCTATTTAATTAAGGTTTATGTCACCGTTTCCTTATGCATTAATCCAGTTTTTCTCTTTTTCTTTCTCTCTCTCTCAAGTGATTGGCTGTTGTTTGATATCCCCGGTGTGGCTGCGCTTGATGTGCATGTTGACAAGGTGCCTACCTGTCTATTACCCACTACCTCGTCCATACTGGCTCCAGGAGACAGTTGGTCGTTGCTGGAGGGGACGGGGTGCACGGTTCTTGTGGCCGTGTTAGGCTCGAAGAGTGGTTCCATGCACTCAGTGTGGAGCGGACTACGGTCCAGCCACCGCCTTGTGTGCGGTTGATTCCCCAAATACAGCGTGCTTGTGTTTGCCTGTGAAGGAGTGTGGGCCGGCTCCGTTGATGAAACGTGGTTCCCATCCACATGCCTCCCGGTCTTATTCCTTCGGGTTTACACTGGATATGGGGTGTGTGGTTGGAGCTGTGGGTGGTGCAGCGCAAGCCATCCATGGTCCCTCTGTAGGCGCAGGCGTCCCACT